TTATCTAGACTCTACTCCAACTATGCGCTTCCATTATTTCTAGTTATTATTCTTATCATGGATATTCTAATAGATATGTTTTCGACAAAGAAAGAAGGAATAAAAGATTAGAATTTACTCCAAATTTACTCGTATTCAAAAACTATAAAACTCCGGTTCAAGATTTTTACTAGTTTTCCTTTGAACTTCCATTGTCTCCCAATGAATTCTATGAGTTTAGAACCAAATAATGCCATATAAAGTGTGTTTTTGATTATCTAAATGTTATTGTATTTGTGTGATGAGCCACTGTGAAATACAGAATTAACACTATTTTTTTGAGTTTTAGTTTGAACATCAATAACACGACCATGCTAATATCATCAAGTCGATGAGAAGTTTAAACATATATTTACCTTCATGTATATATCGATATCAGGATCAGGCTTAATATTTGCTGCTTTCTCTCTTCTTGACAACTCTGCTAACATCTCTGTAAATATTTCAGCATAAATAAGGAATAAGAATTCCAGCTCTAGAAACCAACGAAAACTTGGAAAATAAACATAGAAACAACAATCCATTGTTCTTTAAACGAACCATATCGGGATCCGACCCCTTGGCATCTTGCAGAGAAAGCCATGGTTTCTCTGACCGTCATTTCTCCAATATGAAGATCGTGTTGACTAATGTATGCAGCAGTTCTTTGAGGTACGAACTCTTCCATTCCTTGTCCATTATAGGTAACCCTCCCAGAAACCTGGCAAATACGTTCAGTTTTCATCAATAAAAGATCGAGTTGATTAAAAGAAAACTCACATCCATGAAGAATTTTTTTTTTTAATTTTTTTTTTAATTTTTTTTTTTAACCTTCAAAGCAGGATCAAGCTTTCCAGCCAAAGCCAACATAAGGGTTGTCTTCCCGGAACTCGGAGGGCCCAAAAGCAAAGTCATTCTGTCCACAAACGAAAGAATTGCAATGAAAAACTGGTAAATATATACCCATACATAAAAAAAAGTTAGGATTTTCGTGTTCTTATACCTGCAGGGTTTGATGATACCACTGGCATCCTTGAGGATAGGGAGAGTTCTCTTTTTACTACGTCCGATGTGGAGAGTGTTCAAAATGGACTTTAAGAGATCAAAAGAAAACAAAGTTAGATTGAGACAACCTTAATTATGGATTCATAGCATAACGTTGGATTAATCATTTTACCTCTATCATATTAATATTGAAGTTAACAAAGGTAGGCAAAGCCCTGCCTCCCACATAAGCTTCTGCTTCGATATTCAAATTCTCAAACCGGACTTCAATTGTTGGCAAATCAATTCCAACTCTGAAAAATAATCAGAAATCAATAAACCTAATCCGAATTATAGAGCTACAACACGATCAAAACCCCAACCAGGATCAGTCATGTATAAATGTATAATACCAAAATATATTACCTATCAATTCTATTTCTGAGTTTCAGCAAGAACTTCTCATTGTCTTCATCCACAACATTAACCAGCCTATCCACCAAATTTCTTTTATCTTGAAATCCAAGATTTTGAAT